GTATCAATATTTGGCCCATAAACATTTATCAGAGTAAATCTCTTGTCTTCAATATTAAGATCCAATCCCACCAGATTGCCATCTCCATCTTTTTTAACTTTATGTATTTTATAGTCAAAATCATTTTTAAACAGAATAGCAACTCCTCGTTTATTTGAAGCAAATGAATTAAAAACACAATGGCCTTTCCATTGGTTTTTCATCAAAACTTCATCTTGTTCTACAAAGTGTGTATCCCGGAGACAATATATATTTAAATCTTTTGAATAAAGATAATCAAAAATATCTCCCCGTTTTTCCCTCATGTGAAGTCCTTGACAATTATAGGACATTATTTTAATGTTTTTTCCTTCCATCATGATATTTGTTCTTCAACTGTGAAGTATGATATTTGTAAAAACAAAGGAAAAAATAGTTCATGCGAGACATCAGGACTGATTTCATAATATTTCACTTCCTTAAAAAATATTTCATATATATGCCAAATACCAGAAATCTATGTTTTGTAATAAATATATACATAAAATAAATAAACAAAAAAGAAGATGAAACACATTTAAAACATATAATATGAAACTAAGATTATTCTTATCTTAATGCAGATTTACATATGTGTTCTAGGGGAGATAACTCAATTTGTTTTTATATCAAATTTAGGCGTGACTAAGTTTTGTACTGATTTGCATGATAATATGTACTACATCTCAATATTTAAACACCATTTCTTACAAACTTATAATTAATGAATTAGGTTTACACATAAAATATTGAAAATAATTATTTAGACAAAAGAGAAGAGATCACACAAGAAGCACCTTACCACAAAATGTCCATTGTTTTGTTCTTCCTTATCTGATCTGGTCAAGTTTGTCTTATGTTTATATCACATCACTACAATATGTGAGGTGTCACTTTGCATCTTAAGATTTAAATAAGCATACACAATTTGTTTATTTACTATATTTGAGATCAAAAACTAAATATTATTTTTTTAAAGCTCACCTTAAGATATTAATTTCTATCCCTTTATGAGTATTGAAGGTACAAAATGTACATGTTTTATTTCAATCTAAATGTTTATTTTCAAGAAATGTAGAGTCTTAAAGGTATAAAAAATAACCCCGCCCATCCTCCAATTGTGTATATATACACCTCTTAAGGTGATCTTATAAATTCACATACATTGTGCTATCTATGAAATAGACTAAAGCATGCATTTTCTCTAGAAATATAAACAGCTGAAAACAAAATGCAGAACGAAAAAATCAAAAAAATCACATTATAACATATAATATCTATATGTAAGCTAAAGCATGCATGCATTTACTCAACATATAAAGAACTCATAACTAAAAAAGCAAAAATAAAGGCATGTAAAGCTATATATCAAATCAAACTAGTCGAACAAAATAGAGCAAAAATAAAGAAGCAGAATAAAATGTCAGCCAAATGAAAAAGCAACGATTCTTTTTTTTTCTATACTTACTACATGTACTATCAATCTAGAAGCCTGTAAATAGAAATCTAACAATACAAAATTCTTGTTTCAATGTAATATACATTTATTATGTTTTGTAAAATTCATTATTAAATTTATATCTTCTTATATTCATGGTTAATTTATATACTCAATAGTATTATATATGACATTTTGTATAATAAACCGGTTTTTATCTTAGAATAGTATATACAAGTATATGAAACTGCAGTTATTCCCATGGAGACCATTCTTCTGAACTATTTTAACGAGTCTCTAATGTCATGTGCGCCCCCTTTGCTCGAATTCTTGTTTGTAACTTGTCCCTTTTTCTTATTTTGTATGCATTGTGCGAAAGTAGAAATCTCTCCTCCTTCATTGAAATTGGCAGATCATCAAGTATGCGTATTTTTTTCCCTTTTAAGTTGTGTGCATTGGACATGATAAGTTGCTCATCCCCAAAATGCAGGAAACGAACTATGATAGGCTTTAGACCTTTCCCATGTGTAGGAACTCTATGCGCATTTGCGATGGGTATAGAATTTGCTTTTCTGTTGTCAATATGCATGTCTTCACTGAAGAGTTTTCTTGTTATTGCATACACATTCTCATCTTTTTTACTATCATCTATTCCGTATATAAATATGTTATACTTCCTATCATGTTTTTCTTGTAGAATGGCTTTCTCTTTAAGGTCATCAATTTGCTCTTGTAACTCTATTTTTTGTTTTTCAAGTTTATCATTCTCTATGAATTGAATCTGTGCATCCATACCTTGAACACCTCTTTCGAGCTCTATGAATTCATTACGAAGAGTGTTAAGCTCTTTGTGTGAGGTTTCATACTTAACATTAAGCACATTTACATCAGCCTTTACCTCGTTTATCATACTTGTCAAGTTGCGTTCAACTTTATTCAGCTGTGTAGAAAAACCAGTAACTTTCTTATCTATTCCCATAATAAGGGTCTTCAAATCATCAAATTGTTCTTGTGATGCCATGTTGGATTAAAAACAATCCAATTTTATAGTTTTATCTGACTACTGGAACTGCACTACATGTACATGTATGATGTAGTTTTCTTTTGTGTTGAGAATTGTATCATTATAATACCACTGGTTATATGTTTATAGAAAACTTTAGGTTATGCCAGGGACTATACATATTTGTCTTTGGTTCTTGTAATAATATAGAAAAGTAAATAATTACTTCATTACTCGTTATGTAATATACTTCGTTGTGCTCAGCTCATCCGCGGTACATGGATATGGGCTAATATTGCCTAATATTGACGAGACATTATATTTTTTTTTTATAGTTATGTCAATTCATTGAAACAAAATCATCTGTACCACTTTTTAAAGACTCTACATCTCCGTAAATTCTAAAATATCTCAAAATGTACTGCTACAAATTTTTGTTCATGGGCGCAGCCATTACAGGGGAGGTAAGTTTCCGCAATTTTGATCAAAATAAAAAAGCATTTCCGGCCCATAATCATATAAATTTGAGGACAAATTTGTGCTTGCATGAAACTTTATTCATAACGCTTTCCAGGAGAAAAATATATACATGATAAAACAACCAATCACAGATAGCCAGCGTTTTTCATCTCTATGTCATGTTCCCTTCACGAATGGCTGCGCCCATGTAACTTTATTTAGTACATTGTAACCTATACGGTTATAAACCATTTCTGAAATCCGATTTTTTTGCCGCAATACTTGACTTCATACCACCATGCAAAAGACCTCATCGAAAGCTGTACAAAACACAGGAATTCATTTCTGAACCCTACCCCTGTTGAAAAACTTATAAAAAATACACTGTTTTATAGACATTACGGTACTGTTTGTTACAGGTGTAATAATGTGTCTCTTTATTAGTATTGACTTTTCGAATTATCATGTGCTTCTGATATTGATCAACAAAGAACTTAATTTGAATGACCCTGCGCCGAAAACCAAATTAAAAATTCGGACGAGTTCAATATAAAATGAAAACACTTATTTGAAACGGATTATAGTATTAGAAATCGGATACATGTGCACATTTTTGGTCAGTTTTAATAAAATACAGCTTCTGGTGGTCTATATTAGTCATAGTAATGGTCCGGGTCATGTTTTGAATATGTGAAAACGTTCTGCTTATGAAAGGGACCCTTTGAGCAATTTTTACAGAAAAGGGGGAGGATTAAATCCGAAGATTTCTGCTAAACGTGATATGTCATGATCTAACAAGTACCACCAAATGTTAGGCTTACGTCTGTATAACAAGCCTGTGAGAAACATTTTGAACAAAAATAGAAAATACACACCAAGGCGAGTTTTATTCTGTACCTACCCGTATTTTGACTACAAATAAGAAACAGACTATAACATGAAAACTGAGCTATTTGTAAATATCACAACATTAGTGAAGCGTTTTTGACGTCGAACTCCTTCCTTGAAAACCATTTTTGACATATTCTGAAACTATTTTAGAATATAAAGTACTAAATGGTTGCCCCATTGCCGGCCATGCTTTTTTTAGCAATTATCTCCTTAAATGGCGTTTTTAATAAAGTATTTATGGAAAAACTGCTATTGTCTAATTTGAGCGCGAGATCTATTTGTGATTTTGCCGCACTTAAATTTATATGGTCCCATGGCTTTTCTTGGTGAATAATGGGGTTTTTTATCATACCTTGCGATTTAGCAGAACATTTCCGCAATTTTGATCAAGATAAAAAAGCATTTCCGGCCCATAATCATATAAATTGGAGGACAAATTTGTGCTTGCATGAAACTTTATTCATAACGCTTTCCAGGAGAAAAATATATAAATGATATAACAACCAATCACAGATAGCCAGCGTATTTCATCTCTATGTCATGTTCCCTTCACGAATGGCTGCGCCCATGTGACCTTTTTTAGTACATTGTAACCTTGAACTTGTGTTGTTCATCCTCGAAAACCAACAAGTTAATAACCAACATTCCAGCAGCGCCTGCATACGGTGTATATATCTCCCAATTGATACGATATTCCCGGGCTTGTGTTTCCTATCATGATTTCCTTGATAGAGGATTGCTGCTCACAAGGAAGCTATTAAACCAAGAGTTCCAAATGGTGAAGTTGAAATCATCCCTTCGTAAATTTTACGGACGCCATCACGAGTTGGTTGACCGTTATGGAATAACCGTTTCACAGATGATATCGGATATGTTCCTTATGTTGTAACTACAATACCCTTCCCTTTTCACCAATGTGACTTACCGAATTAGACTATTTACCGGATTTGTATTAACATACGCTACACGACGGGTGCCACATGTGGAGCAGGATCTGCTTACCCTTCCAGAGCACCTGAGATCACCCCCAATTTTTGGTGGGGTTCGTGTTGCTTAGTCTTTAGTTTTCTATGTTGTGTCTTCGGTACTATTATTTGTCTGTTTGTCTTTTTATTTTTTGGCCATGGCGTTGTCGGTTTGTTTTCGATCTATGAGTTTGACTGTCCCTCTGGTATCTTTCGTCCCTCTTTTTTAATAGCAAATAATTGATATGAAATAGGCCGTCAATGCGTAAGTGATATCAACATTATTGTTTAGCGAATGTTTGAACTGCTTATTGTGTCTAATTAACTGTTATCAATCGCGATGTCAACATATATCAAACTTGTGGGTTACACTAATGTCCTGACAATGTCCTGACAAAGTCCTGACGGATATGAAAATACTAATTACGTTTTCATTATTTAAAGGATTTACTTTAAATTTTGAACCAAGCAAGATGACAACATTAATTTAATAAATAAAAGAACAAAAATTTAAAAAAATATTTTTAAGAGTTAGAAAACTTGACCTGACCAACTTCGACTTTGAAATCACTAATGTCCTGACCGATATGAAACGGCTTCATACTTTTTTATTATTCACAGGATAGACTTCAAATTCGATATCAAGGAAGATTAAAACATTTAATACAAAAATATAAGAAAAAAATGAAAAAAAAAAAATTTTTAGAGTTAGAAAACTTGACCTGACCAACTACGACTTTGCCGCGACTAATGTCCGGACCGATATAAAACTGCTAATTTCTTTTTTTCTTTGGAAGGATTGACTTAAAATTTGACACCAGACAAGAAAGTAACATTGATTTAATACTTATTTGAAAAGAATTGGGAAACAAATACTTTAAGGGTAAAAACACTTGACCTGACCAATATCGACTTTGTCGTGACTAATGTCCTGACCGATATAAAAGTGCTAATACTTGTAACATTGTTGGTATGATTGAGTTCTTATTTGAAACCAAGTCAAATTATAACGGTTTTTTTAATACTTTTTATAAAGTAATTGGAAAACAATATTTCATACGAAATAAAAACTTGACCTAACCACCTTCAATTTATTAAACTTAATACACAAACAAAAACGTTTTTAGTTCTTACCTTATATTGTCATTGAATTTATATTTATCCTATCCATAAAACACAACATCCAAAGCAAATAAATTTAATATGAGTACAAGTTGCTGACTGTGAGTATTGTTTACCCCTCATTTAACAACTCTACTTTATTTGATTTGATTAATAAGTGTGACTAATGAAACTAATTATTGAATTATTAAACCCAATTAAATAATTATAAAAGTGAAATGTGATCAGCTACCTATATTAATGATTTTAATAACTAAGTAAATGGAAAGGGTTTTTTTTTCTTATCGATGTAACAATTAAATCAAAAAGCTGTATAAAAGTAAACACAAAGGAAGGTGACATGAACCATTAAAATTAAATCACACCTATATTAATTACTATAATCACAAATTGGAATATTTTCTTTCCCATCTGATTATTTATTTTTTGTTTATCTAGTTATTGAGTGATTATATATGTCATATAAAGGCAGGAAATGAGATTCGTATTGTTTAAAAATGATGTATATACAAGCTTAGCACATACTTACAACTTCTCGTCCAATCAAATTGCTTATATTTGCCTTCTAATTTTCATAGTACATACTTTTCCTGTGTACTAAGTGACTACGCATGAATGACCACAAGGGTAAGATTTCATTGTATCGTAATCAAGATATTTAAAACAAAAATTGCTACTGGCTATTTTGAAATAAAATGCTGTGTTCCAAATTAAAGACATTAAATTAAATAGTTTGTAATTAGTTTTCACATTGATTTTTAAATTTCCTGCTATTAAAATCTTTGGATCTAAAAAATGTTTTTGACAATTGCAAATTTTATCATTAAAATAAAGGGTAATACATATGGTTCTTTATACCTTGATTAGAGTACAACGATATCTTAAAATTATGATAATGTATCATCCATGCAATTACTTTGTACACAGAAAAGTGTGTACTATGAAAAGTTGTGAAGGAAAATTAAAGCAACTTGGTAATAATTTTTTAAACTTTCTTAAGGAAAGTGATCTATTTCGTCATGAATTGATTGATGTATTGATTATTGGTTGCTTAATGTCCAGTGGCAAATATTTCCTGCATGTTCAGGACGATGTCATAAATTGAAAAACTGTGATTATGTCTGAAGATAATGTGCCACCTATATATATATATATATATATATATATATATAAACATATTCTGATAAATCTATTAGTTTTTACTTTGAACTAATAAAAAAAAACACACAAAACCTATAATCTCTGATCTATTTGTAGTTGCTTTTTAATGCCTATCTGCTAGACTATATCTTTGGGGACAAACTATCTATATGTTTCAAATTTATCATAGCTTTAGTTTTACTGTGAAATTAAAAAATGTTTTCAAAACATGTAAAGCTTCCACTGCAATTTCATTATTACCTGCTTTTGGTCAATTCATTTTGTCATCTTACCTAAGAAGAACATGTATAGTAAAACACCGCTTTATATCAGTATACATACTTACACCAGCAGCTACCATCTTTTCATTCTGGAGTGAAGGGCCTTTTGAAATCACATATTTTACAATGATACTGGTGAGTAGATTTACAAAATTCGTTAATGAGCTCCGTTTTACAAACACCTGTGATACAAGTAGTCAGTCAAAATAAACTATCAACAGACCAATTAAAAGATTACTCGAGTTGTAAATATGTGCTAAATTGGATAGTCTATGGAAAGATATATACTATGAAATTTAGAGCGAGGGGCTTGCCTTTCCATAGACTAACCTAGACATATAAATTAAAATTATGTTAGAATCACAAAGAAATAAAATAAATTAATACACACAATTTTCACTAACAGAAAAAAAGAAGACATTCAATTAAATTGAGTTCAATAAAGATAACCACAGTGAAAAACGTTCATACCTAATATATAGGAGTTAACACAATACAATATGATACAAACTACAATACAATACAATACAATACAATACAATACAATACAATACAATACAATACAATACAATACAATACAATACAATACAATACAATACAATACAATACAATACAATACAATACAATACAATACAATACAATACAATACAATACAATACAATACAATACAATACAATACAATACAATACAATACAATACAATACCATTCAATACAATACAATACAATACAATACAATACAATACAATACAATGTTCAAGCATCGCGATGTTCATCACAGTACCAATCTTCTGAAACTCCTGAACATGTCTGATGAACCCACTTAGTACAGCTGATCCGTCCTCTTTTCGCTTCACATCCAATCATGTTCTCAAAAACATCTGGTTTACCACAGTGACAACTACACTCAATTCTTCTGGCAAAAATCCTAACAAAGTCTGTACTTGATGTTGTATTTTGAGGAAATGGTGTAAAATGTCCTTTTTCCAAACACGATATTAAATGTGGTCGCATGTATTTCTCAATAAACTTCGTACGTCTTTGAGTGTTGAGTTTTTCTTTATGACAATATTCCACCATGTTGGCAATAGCATAAACACCACAGCCATATCCATTTGTTTGTTGTTGAACATCAGGTAATTTAACAAGCAAGTTCTTTTTTCCATGAGAATAAATAGCTGATAACTAAATTTCTGTCGATGGTGTTAATCTGAAATCTTTACTGTAACTATCTAACATATAAACGGCACTATCCTTTTTAGTTAATAATAAAATAGTATTTAGCCGTTTCATATCGGTCAGGACATTAGTGATTTCAAAGTCGAAGTTGGTCAGGTCAAGTTTTCTAACTCTTAAAAATATTTTTTTTTTATTTTTTTCTTTTATTTATCAAATTAATGTTGTCATCTTGCTTGGTTCCAAATTTAAAGTAAATCCTTTAAATAATGAAAACGTAATTAGCATTTTCATATCCGTCAGGACTTTGTCAGGACATTGTCAGGACATTAGTGTAACCCCAAACTTGTGACTTGTCTGTTATTTGAACATTGTCATATTGTGTATTTTAGGTTGAAACATCATTTACAATAAAAAGTTACGGCCTTTGACGAATTATCTTCATACACTGCATCCTTTCTATAAATGAACATTCACACAAAGAATTCACAAATTGAGAAATACTTACATTTTCAGAATTAAATCCATTATCTTACACTCTTGGTCAATTTTTTCAAATGCACCAATATTTGTGTGTTGGAATATTTTACTGATTTAATGCTTGATTCATCACTTTTAACGCAATGTACGGTGGAGGATAAATTAGGTACACTTTTCATCACACGTGACATTCCTTGTATTATGAATAAAATTTGGTTGGACAGTGTTGTAGCTCCTAATTACATTCTTTAAAGTATCAGGAATGACATGGAACGCATTTTTTGTTCATTATTTTAGAATTTGCGTTATAAAGCTTTCGCCTTAAATACAATTTCCGCAGATATTGCCTATTAAACTATTGTCAGTAATAGCCAGACAATAGTACGGTTTGTATATTGTATTTACCCTTTTGGGTGCAGTCTGAGTAAATACAAATGTACATGTGAACAAGTGTACTGTAACGAATCACGAATCAATAAAACCAGTTGATTACTGTAAATTCCGAAACTGTTGCGTGCATATATTTTAGCGATATTTCAATTTTTTATCTTACTACAAGGTTGGTGAAATCAGGAATTTATTCATTTGATATAAGATCAAAATGACAGTTTTTCTTTGTGTTTTTTGTTTTTTGTATTTTCTGGTATGAATAACATTTTTAATGCTTGTAGGCAAATAATTGTCATGCCTACTCATTTATGTGCACATAACAATAGTAAAAATAGATATAATAACACGTATTGTTCTTTCAGGAAAATTTGGTGAAAAAACTGACTATGGTGGTTTCAACTCTACAGACGAACCACGAAAAGATCATGAACATAGGTCGATTGCAGAGGAAATCAGACAGCAAGACAACATGACAGCAAAACAAAAATTAGAAAGTAAACACGGTGTGCGGTATACAGAACTTTTACGACTTCCATATTTCAATGCAATATCATCCTTTGTTGTTGATCCAATGCACAATCTTTTCTAAGGGACCGCAAAATATATGTTTAAGACTATATGGAAGGACAAACTAACAGGCCAAGATCTTCAAAAAATTCAAGACATGGTTGATAATGTAACTGTTCCTGCATCGTTTGGAAGAATTCCGCGAAAAATCAAATCCTCTTTTTCCAGTTTAACCTCAGAACAATGGAAAAACTGGACCTTATATTTTTCACCGATTGCACTGAAAGGTCATCTACCGAAAAAGGACTTCGACTGTTGGTTGTTATTTGTTGAGGCATGCTGGTTACTATGCGTATCATCAATAACTATCCAGGACTTAAGAAAAGGCCACGAGAAAATTGTTGAATTCTGCCGTACATTTGAGAGCATTTATGGGTCAGCTATGGTAACACCAAACATGCACTTACATATCCATCTTGTTGACTGCATATTAGACTATGGACCCTTTCACGGATACTGGTTCTTCGGATTCGAAAGAATGAATGGCGTTTTAGGATCCTTTAGTACAAATCAGCGATCCCCAGCGATTCAGTTTATGCGTAAAATATCAGAAATCCAATTTGTTCATGGACTTACAAAATTACATCACCTTTCGGACCTTTTTTCTTCCTCGTTTAAATTCGAAAATACAGCCCATTCAGAAACAAAAGATACAGCAGTTGTGCAACGTTTGATATCTTTATCAACCGGAGATATCAGCCGTTCGAACGACTGGTTTTGTAATGCAGACATCAGCTTCAACGGAATACGACATGATGCCTTTATGAACGACCACTATTTGGATTTTCTACAAGAATCGGTACGGTGTATTATTGATATAAATGAATATGAAATCAGTGGCAGTTGTAGCAAATATTTTGCAATTGAGATGTGCGGCGAGAAATACGGAAGCAGCAATTCACGACTCTCAAGATCTTCAGTTGTACTTGCCTCATGGTGTGGAAGTGAAGGGGGCATCTTGCAAAATGAGTTTAAACTTCGTCCGGGTGTCATCAGATTTTTCATAACATTTTTTATCAAAACAGATGACCAGTACAAGCCTGTCAACTTTGCCTTTGTACACTGGTTTAAAAGTGTACCTTATGAGTACAACCGTTTTGTCAGCTTGTGGCGCAGAGGAATGTTTGAACCAGAGGGACCATAAAGTTTTCTACCCGTACAGCGGATCCATGGAAAAGCTATATGTACACAGACTAAAGTCAGGAATGAAATTGTTCTAGCAGTAATACCACATTTAAGACAATTATTTCACTAATTACATGTACATATTGGAGGCTTTAATATTAAGCATCTCAGATAACATTTTAAAACTTATTGAAAATTCACAGCTTTGCCTTTTTTATATTTCGGATGTCCGCATCAGTAATCAGAAACCACACGTCGTAAACATTTCAAAAGGTTCTACTAGGCATTACTTTTACATGTCTTTCTGTGCTTTTGATGAATGGGGTATACAAAGGAGTTTTTTGTTGTAAAAAGGAATAGCTGCCCCCCCCCCCCTTTTTTGTGGAAAAAATTTGCTGTTAAATAGGGAATCACTGAAGCATGACTATAACGGGCCCCCTCTTAGGCAGTCAGTGGGCACCACTTATGAAAATTCAGGATCCGCCACTGATATTTGTACTTATTTTAACTAATATCATTATTCAAAACCTGTTTTGTGGAATTCAATACTACATGTGGCACTGCATGAAGTAATCCCCTATTTATTAAGTATATAATTATTAAACATAAGAGTACTTCTTTCACATGTTTTGTTTATACAATTGCCTCAATCTAATTAAAACATAGATCTCTGATTTCGTTATACTACATATGAGCTCATATGTAGTATAACGAAATCAGAGATCGATATCTTAATTAGATTGACAAATGCCTAGAATTTTAGGTCATCGGGAGGGGTGCAAAATTGGGATGCACGAGTGCCTACAGTTGAGGCTCGACTAACAGATAGACAACATGAAAAGAGTAATCGTGATGTCGCTGATAAAAAAATCAAGATATTAAAATGGTAGCTGCAGGCGAAGTCTAAACACCTTTTCCAATACAAATTCAGGCGCTCTCTTGCAAATTCAAAGACAACATCACATGTAAGGGCCTGCAGAAGCAGTATTAAAGGCGAAAGCGTCATTAGCGCAAGTAGAGATACCAGCGCCTATACTGTGGATAATCAAAATGGTCAGATATATAGTGATAATACGCTGATACCTTTTCAATCAGAATGTTATCTTTACAAAACCTAAAAAAAAATAGGGAAAAGGAATTCATGACTTCCCGATTATTAAGGTTTTGCCAGTCAAATTGAAATGCCTAATTGAAGGCTATACGGTGAACTATTATAGTTGTTAATTTCTATGTCATTTGGTCTCTGGTGAATAGTTGTCTCATTAACAACCACTTATTTTTATAGGCACTGAATCGAACATGATTGAAATATAATTTTAAGGGGCATGTCAAATGTTTTATACCCAGCTCAAAATGTGGATTAGCACACCCATTCGCCTTCTGTTCTCTACAAGTAAATATCAAGGACAACTATCGTTGCTCCAAATAGAAAATGTTTTGTTCGGTATAATAAAACACTTAATGACTGGTTATGAGGGTAATAGCAAGTCTGTTGTCCCTTTGATACAAACTATTGCCTTCGGCTTCGCATCGAGCTATAGTTGGTATTTAGGGACAACAAACTTGCTATTATCCTCATAACCAGTCAAACTGTGTATAATATTGCATTGTTCTGGGTATGATATTGGAAAGGTACCGTGTGGTGTTCTCCTTTATCACTTAAATTTAAAAGGCATATAATCTCGTATGCTTCAAAAATGTTCACTTATATGGCCAAGCAATGTTACTCGGCGTTCCTGACGTTATAAATTTTCACCCTGACATGTGAGCTTAACGGAGGAGGGGAAAGGTCTTAAGATTACATACTAAAATATGGAGGATATGTGGTAATGTATCCTGATTTTGACGACCGTGACAGTTTTATATTTTGACGTTTGGCAATTGAAACATTGATAGACAACAACAAAAAACAAACAACAAACAAATACAATTTATGTTGACACTAAAAACAAAACATCAATACATAGCCGGTAGTGAAATTTGGTTGCTGGAAAAATTATGAGCTGCTACTTGTGAAATATTGCTGACTGGACCGCCCTCTAGTACACAAGCTTTGGGTCGCCAACCTGTGATACAATGATTAGTTTAATCGTCGTCAAGATTTATTTTGAGTGACAAATAATTTTGTTATGTAATGTTGTTGTTTGAATTTTGATTAAATGTTGCCACGACAATTCATAAGCCAAACTAGATCAGTGTTTGTTGTTTGTTGTAGTGATATAAAAAGTCTCAATGATATGTTTTAAATAAATGTTGATATTTGAGTACTTAACACCAATTATATTATTTTGATAAAAGGATATATTCAATAATTTATTTTTGTTAATCTATAAATACCGAAAAAGATTCATATGATCAAAAACCTTCCTTGTGTTTTTATGAGAAGTTTAACCAGTCCCCATGCGCTAGAATAGAATAGAAAATTTTCTTTTAAGTCGGGTTACATGAAATATTACAAACATAAGTTCTGTAGAGCTTTTCGCCGACATTTATAACAATAATAACACTAATGGAGTGCATACCCTTTTTATCTTAATGTTTAATTCTTATAATACTAAGTTTAACTTTAACTGCAACACTTTATGAGTGCAGTTATTTGAAATATGAAAAAAATATTTTCAACAAAAAATTGAGGGCCAAGAAAGTGGGGTCTACACTTCAAGCGCATGTTAAACGGTCTGCGACATTTCTAAACGATTGAACTTTTCAATAGAAGTTGTATTCTAGGGTAAACTGAAAAATATGAATATAAAAGAGAGGCTCAACTGTAATGTTGGAGAGGAAACCCTTGTAGAAATTACATATATATAACAGTTTACATAAGCATAGGAAATTGTGGTATGCTCGCCAATTAGACAACTTCCCAAGTCCTATAGTAGTAATTCAAATCAGTTGTAAGTCACAGTATGACCTTCAACGTGGAACGATACCGCACTGATACTGTGAATTCGGGGGAAATAATCATGGGGCGATTATATTGGGCATCTCGATTTTGATTGCAAGCCGTTTTTTAGATAAATAAAGTTTATCAATCTATCTCCTCTCTACCTGTACTCATATTTTTACTCATTTCATTCACATTTCAAAGCGAGGCAGTGATCCAAAAAACCTCTTTAACCCCTCTAAATCCGATAGTGACATGCTTTTCATTCAATTCGTATAATTGGTACTATGATGAATTGCCATTATCTATGTCAGTAATTGCATATAGGAAAATAATCTGTCGGTTGCGATTGCCAAAACAAGTGAACTTGTCAAATGTCAATCGTGTATATATGGGTAATCAAATAACAGAATTGGTTCTTCTTTGGAAAGAAAGTCATACTTGGTCTACATATATTACAAGAAACCTGAAAAATGTGTATTAAAATAGTAGCTTGTAAGAAATTTTTGAAATGTTGACCATTTTATCTGGGAAAATGACCAGCATCAGTTGATACGAGAGGAAAAACCAAAACATATAAGATGCCCCCCCCCCCCCCCCCCCCCCACCCCTAAATCCAGCCCAGAGATTAACCTACCCGTCAAATCGAAAACGAGGCGATAAACAGGTTCGAAAGCCTCATGATGACCTTGCGTTGGTTCTGTCGGTAATAGGGTGTGTGTATATATTGTAATTAATTAAATAATAAACAGAAATGAGTTGCATTTGCAGACAATATTTTAGCATGACTCGATGTCGGTAATTTATCTGAAACTTGTTAGATAAATGGAGTTAACACTTCTTATTTAGACAAAACAAAATGTTAAGCCTTTGCAGTTATTTGGCGTCCGTCGCTAGTTTGAGTTCTTAATAACCTTAAAAAGAGCAGCATTAAAATCCTTTTGACCGGAAGGATTTATTAAAATGGGCATCTTTGACAATGGTCTTTTTTCAAACGATAGAAAATAACTTCATGAAAGTGGGCGTTCGTTTAGCTTGTAGGGATGAACAGATTCCAAGCAACATCTGCTCATAGTAGAGATTGAAGTAAATACAACTACTTGTGTAGAAAGGGTCACACTCCCCGCAAGTTTAATAAGCATTACAACAACTGTTTAAGAGGTCTGAAGGCGGAGTTTGCACGGCAACTTTCAGTACCTTACCAACGTAAAATTGTTGGTAGGAACCAGCTGAAATGTCATGTTGTTTAGCAAATTGACACAAGACTCCTGTACTTATTGTGTTATTGTTTAAAGTTTCTTGCATTTAATTTGACATCATAAGGTTAAGCTACTACCAACCAACCAATCGAACAAGGATGCTTTGTATGCCAAAATAATCAGCAGTATTCTGTTCTAAAAGATTATTTTGATTTCGTGTTTGAATTGAATCCGGTTAATTTTTTTCTTTAACATTTTGAATTTTTTTCATAAACATAGACATATTCTTATATGATACAACAATGAGATGTGGTATGATTGCCAATGAGACTATTCGCAATCCAAGATCATAAGTCACGATTGTAAGCAACAACTGGTAACTGTACTGCTTTCAACACGTTAACTTGGTCCACACAACATAGCAAACTTTAATGCAATCAGGAAGTTTAGTTGAAGCGAACAGAGATCGTGTAAGTCGTGGTTAGGTCTTATATGACGTAGCAAGAACGTGACAAGATCGTTATTTGAATGTATTACTGTCGTAGTGGAATCGTACCAAGATCTTATCAGGATCATAGCAAGGTCGTGGTATGAAAATGAAAACTATATGAAGTATTGAACATTCAAGCCGACTGTACCACGATCTCACCGGGTTCCTATATTTTTTATAGATCGTAATGGGATCTTCATGGTCTTGGTCTAGTGTGACGTGGGCCTAATGTTGCTCAACACTGCAAACTTCTATTGAACAAATGTTTAACTTATTTTAGAAAGCATTTCATGTGTATATAATTCTAAGCTTTTTTTTGTATACAAATTTTAAACTCATGTTGGCTAAGGATGATTAGAAATATGTTAAAAAAGTAGACTTCAATTGAAACAAAAACATATACTCGGAAAATAGATCATTTTACCTTTAAATAGGATAAAGTCAAGATCGGAAAACCAAAATGAACCAAAACGTTTATTTAAATTTTCAATTGTTAAGATACTTGCAAATGCAAATATCATATATGAATAAAACTAATACAGGAGCAGTCAGATTTTAAAAATTGATGTACACTGTCTTTTTCGCTGTTATTTCTATTCTTGTTAAAACACAAAATTATTTGCTTTGCATCGAAGTAATTATATCTGATATGAGAAGCGAGGAAACAGGGATGATTATTTTAAACAAAAGATAATTGTTTAAAAAGATTTTGACTGTTTACAATTTCAACATATGTTTAGGCAATAAGCTTGTAAACG